AAAATTGAATGAATAAATGAATGGAGATGGCTCAGTGGAAATTGTCTGAAAATGCAACAAAGGAGCGAGAAACTCGGTGAGCACTGCAGCCATATCTGAGCCTACTGCGGTGATTGAGTGCATCTCTCTCAGGATGCAGACACCATACCACGAATGATGTCATCAGACTGGTGCTTTTTACTTTTCTTTACCCATTGTCATTTCTTTTTTTCGTAATTGTATTTAAATATTAATTACCCGCAGCGTTAAAGGTTTGCGTTACCAAACACGAGCGGCGCAAGTTTTTCAGTTCACTCGTCGTGCCGCACAGGGTCGCTGGTGCCTGACAAGTGGCGCAATCATGCAATAAATTCGAAATGTCCGATGACAACTTTTAAAATCATTGTTTTTGCACGCAAAGGGCAGCGACGTCACCAGAGGGAGACGTGTTAGTTATTTAACACACGTGCAACTGTCTGATTTTGATTTAAAACGGACAGGGGGGGCAGTTTAGTTTTTTTTTTCGTTGTTGTTGTTGTTGTTTTAGGAAGATGCTTTAATGCAAACTCAGCTGGTCAAAAGTGATGAATTAAAATATGTTTACTCCCGGCATCAATGGGATATGATGTTCCTGGAGCGCCAAACGCCCCCGCTCTGTGTCTGTTATGTCTTTCCTTCTGGTCCCCTCGACGCGCATTGGACGGGGTGACAATGCGTAAGCTCCACAAACTGCAGTCTGTCTGCATAAACATAGAAGAACGATGACTTGAATCCGGACTTTCGCTGAATATATGAATCACCTGGTGCCAAAGTATCATTAGAAGTGGAAGCTGAACGCTGAATACGGACCTCTTGCGCGCTCTCCTCTGGCTCATGTTGCGTGCAGCTGGAGTTGCGCTCAGGACTTCACGAAAGGCTGTCTGGGTGTGGATGTACGCTGATCTATGCCGGGACTTGAACTTTTCTACTTTTAGATAATTCGCCATAACACGAGGATGGACGGAAAGTATCGGACTTCACGCACTACAGCCAGCTTCAGGAGCCCGGTGATGCAGAAAGAAGGGAGCTGGAAAAACTGACCGGCTGAGGACAGAGGATTTCTGCGCTTCTTGGGATAAAAAAACCCCCGCTATAAAACAAACACAAAATCGTTGTGAAAATGTGTCATAACTGGTCTTTCGCCAGTAATCTAAGCGTTATCTCTTCTAAAAAGGAAAATGCTGGAGAGACCGAAGCAAAGCTGAAGTTCCTTCTCTTCAGTTCTTGAATTTTCCTGACAAAAACAAGTAGATCAGACTTTCAAAACTGCTCACTCGAACTATGATTGTTCAGCGTTTGGAAACTAACGATTGCAGCATGAAAAGACGTGTTTTCATTCTTCATTTTTAGAAACCACGCTGCACGTAAGATGCTCTTCTTTGAACTAACACGCATCGGCTTGCGCACTAATTTTTGGGGGAATTCGTGTTTTTTAACGGCTCAGAGAAACATGTTGCACATCCTTGCGCTTCAGTCGGTGGTGTTACTTTTGGGAGGTAAGCATTTTAAATCTTTTAGCCTATGTGTCTTTAAGCCCACTGTGCCGACTGAGAAGCCAGGCTTTTGTTAAACAAAGATTTCAAGTAAGTTTAATACGAACTGGAGCCACGTAGCGTGATTTTTGTCACACAGGGGACCGCGTGAGATGCAGGGTAGCGAACATCCTGCTTGTCTCATCCACGCTTACATTCCCCAACAAGAATTCAGTTCAGATGTGTTTAGTCATATATTATGGATTCCGAAGACCTCGCCGCAGTGGCTCTGCACCTGTACGATGAACCCAGAGCAGCTCTGGCTTTAAATAACACTTATCTCATCAATATTTCAACATGACAAGGATTATCTTGTGCAACAGAAGCAATGGGGTTGCATCGACTCTTGACTTAAGTTATTACATAAAATTAATCTCCAAGCCCATATTTATTTCATGGGAAAACTTAGGAGAGTTGCATTGATGAGAGCTCTTCATATAGCTTCAAAGCACAACATCAGTCCAAATCTCTTTGAGGTGTCACTTAATATGTTTTTAGTAGGAATTTCTGCGTTTTATATGGATTCTTGGTGGGGGGGAGAAAAAGATGATTTAAATGTCATTTTCCACATTGCATCAGTCAATTAGTGCCACTGGGAGGAGAACAGCAACATCCTTTTTGACTGCCTGGCGGCCAGGATATACAGATCTGAAGGCAGCTGGTGGTCTGGCTAATGAATCCCTTCTGTCTTGTGGGAAAAGGGTTTCAACTAAAATGCAATCTGGAAATTTTAACCGGTCCTCCAATGGGACTTTTTCTCCAGATGATGCCTGGCTCTAGCAGCTTTCCAGCATACCCAAAAGAAGAGTTTTTCACGGCATGTCTTTAATTAAAAGCAAAACTTTTTTTTTCCTCCCTTTTTTTTCTTGTGCAAATGAAAGAAACAACAACACATTTTTCAGTGAATGAATATGCAATCCTTGTTCACTGCAGTGAGACCTAGAATCACAATCTTATTGTAATTACATAGAATCTGCAGCCGGCAGTGTATCTGTTATGGTCTAAGAAACACTTGCGCTGGTTCCCTGCAGAATTAAAGGTCATAGTTTTCAGAAACAATCTTTCCAAAATTGCATCTTAGAGGTCCATTGTGCATGTGCGCCTCGGTGATACATCTTGGAGCTCATGAGGATTATTCTTATGTAACAGCACCTCTCTTTCCAGTGCTGGCTCACTGGCTTGAAGTATGCTGTAATGATATTTGCCATGTGCTAAGGCCTTACACAGTGTGATCCTAATTGAGGATAGTGTGTCATAAACCTGCAGGACACAGCTTCTTACTGCGAATAGTGATAAAAATTGATAACACACTCCAGGAAATGAGAGGATCAGATCCGTGCTAGAAAAATGTCTGCGCAGCATAATAAGCCACGATTAGGGATGGAAACCTGGTGTTCTAGTGTGACTGTGATAAAAACCCTTTGTTTCAACAACTGCAAATGATATCCGGGTGTAGAGTTTCCTGGCCCTAGAATATTCAAAGCAAATCTGCAGAATAAAATGTTATTATGATAAAAGGATGGAGACTTAACATTTTTTGTATGTGTTGTTAATAAAAAACATACAAAACAAGTGTCCCGTCCTTTAATTGACGCCACCAGGTGCGTTCCAGTGGGACACCTCAGTGGGATTCCTGAGAAGAATATTCAATCTTCCCTCCTTTAGTTTTATCCTTGAGCTTAACAAGATCCAAAGGAGATCAAGCAAGGATAGCCTTTGGTCTACATATTTAAGCACTAAGCACACAGCCCATGCTGTCTCTTGTTGCTGCCATGTGTCTGTCCTCATGCCTCGGCATCTCCATCAAGACGATTGAAGTCGTCCTGTAGAAATTTTATTTCAGAACATTTACTTACCCAGCCGAGATTCTTAAACCCTCTCTCAGTGGAGAGGTTTTATCTGTGATTGTCTTCAGAAACATCCACTGCTGTGGTTCCTCGCCCCAGTGCTGTGGCACACATACAGCTCTACTTCTTTTGCCCCTGGCAGTCCTGTAAACCCTGCAATTCATGTCCTCGATCAAGAAAAAAAAAATGAGCCAGAGAGGTGAAATACAGTCTTTATGGAGAACAATGTTTAGCATTCGCGGCTTGATTGATGGACTGATTATGTTTGTCTTTAAGCTGTGCCGCTAAATTGTGAGTGGCATGTGTTTGTCTGGATCCTTTCATGTGTCTGTGTCTCATTTCGTTAGGCTCAACACTGTCTGATTGAAATTCAGCTGGAGTTTTGACGTGGAATTGAACACATTGTCCACTCAAGCAAAAGGATTGATTTCATCAACAGTCGGGTGGATATTTTCATGTCAGCTTCGATTCCACTGCACTAAAAATTTTTTAGTTTTAGATCTTTGACAGCTTTTTAATTATATTTGTAACCAAAGCATATTGAAGTAAATGAGTCTGTGTCTTAAGTGGCCATGCGCTAGATAAACCCCCTAATGTCATTTCTTTTTCTTTTTTTGTTGCCATTCATCAGTTGTGGTGTTGATTTAGAGATCAGAAAGAAATGAAAGGAACAGTAGTGACTTTTTTTATTTCTAATTTTCAGTATTTATTTTTTTACCAAGGCTATCTGTGCATCGCTCTCGCTGTGGTGCACAAAGTCGGTTGAATTTTACAACAGAGGACACTGATAAAAAGAGCCGTCACCCCCCCC